GAGGCATATTAAAACTATTAATATAACTCCACTTTCATTTTGTCTAGTACTTTATCTTTGTTTTCTATTTTTTTATGCTTGTCTGCACATATGTGGCATGAGTTAATTTGGCTGGACTTCTTTGATCTTTTATTCTTTTTAATGATGCCAAAAGTGGGAAAGGACTCAGGGGGAATCACATTTGGGAACTGGTTCTTAATTCTGAAAAACTCGCAACTTATGGCATTGTCTCAGGGGGAACTCTCTCACATGCTCTCTGATGCCTTAATTATGAATTTATAAATATTTAAGTTTGTCATCATCAAAAAGGGGGAAACTGATAAATCTTAAATACTCTTGCCTTATGTTTTGATGATCTAACAAACTTTCTGATAAGAACCAATTAGGGAACCTGATCTACTTTGGATTGCTGCAAACTTCAACGTACTCCAGTAAAATTTGAACTACTACAAATACAGGAGGTAGGAACCAAACAAGGACCTGATGCTCCTGTAGTTCCTATATAGCAGCACAAAAGTCATTTAGACACAGCTGGAATTGAAGTGACTGGCGGCACTGTTTCTGCCGCACTGCAACACACTGACAGTCCACTCACTCTCCAACCAAACAAAGCACTCACATCACTTCAAGTGATGTGATCAAATGTATCCGATGAAGCTTTATACAAGGCATCACTGGAAGAGATCTATTTCTCATTGAAGTCTTAAGCAAAAACAGAAAATATCATTCTCTCAAGCTTGAAGAACAAGGTTAAACGCCACTACGGACCAGTTCCTGAAAGATTGATTATTGTTGTCCTAGCTGAGTTGTAACCTTGTTATTACTATATCTCTTAAACCGCTTATTTAGAAGAATACTGATTAGGAGTCCTTTTGTAAATCCTCAACACTCGCCGAGTTTAGGTTGTGACTAGGTTTAGTCATAAAGAAAAGTCTTTGTAATTGTAGAATTGCAAAGTGGCTTGGTGTGATAGCACCACAAGTTAGAAAAAGCCTTTGTAACTAGGATAGTCACAAAGTGGCTTGTGGTAGAGGTACCACAAGTTAGTTGAGTAAATCCTTTGCAATCGGAAGCATTGTAAAGTGGCTTGTAATAGGTAAGATTACAAGTTAGTAAAGTTAAAAGCCTACAGGTGTAGGTCGTGGTTTTTTGATCCCCTTGTGTGAGATTTTTCCACGTAAAAATCCTCTGCCTCATTTACGTACTGCTTTACTAAGTGATCTCAGCAGAAACTTGTAGAGAACCCGGTACTCTAAGATTAAGTGGACCCATACAAACTAACACTTTGGCTGCAGGTGCGAGCTCTTGACCGCAGAAGCGGCCTGACATGGACTACCTAGTGGCCGCAGGAGCGAAGCAAAAAACCGCACCTGTGAAGGCGCAGGTACGAGGCAGTGGATCGCAAAAGAGGGGTGGGGGGTCACAGGTGCGACGCATGTGCGGCAAAAAAGGGCTCGCAGAAGCGATGGAGGCAGACGTGGGTGTGGTCTGCACATGCGAGGTTTTGTCCACAGAAGCGAAGCCGCAGGTGCAACAGTGGCATTGCAGGTGCGAAAACCGCTGGCCAGTGAGGTTCTTAACTCGAGGACTTAGGTTATTTTGACTCATTTCTTTCATCTCTTGGGCGATTTTTGAGCTCTTTGAAGAGGGGTTTTCACCTAGCTATTTGAGGTAAGTAATTTCTATCCAATGTAAGTTAAATACATAGATTATGGGTATATTTAACTTGTAAAATTGTGAAAATAATGGGTTTTGTTGAAAAATATAAAAATGGGATTTAACCACGAAAATGATTATGGAATTGGGTAAAAATTATATATTTGAGTTCATGAGGTTATGGGTAATATTTATTTTTGAAAATTTTGAAATCTGGGCCTGAGGGCCCGGGGCGAATTTTAGGAATCTTCCGATTTGGGTTGGGTAATTACCTCAATAGTTAAATTATGAACTTTTGAGTATATATTGATTTATTTTTATAATATTTGGCTAGTTTCAGATTGTTTGGAACCAAGTTGAGGATATAGAGCGGATTTGTGGACCGGAAGTGAGCTTGAGAATGAGGTAAGTCTCTTGCCTAACCTTGTAAGAGGGAACTCATACCCTTAGGTGTATTTTGTTGTGAATTACTTGTATGGGGAACTACGTACGCACTAGGTGATGTGAGTCTATGCGTAGCTATATTCCATGATATGTTCGGGTAGTCTTAGATCTACATCATGTCTTAATTGTACCGTTAAGTTCATTATGTATATTAATTGTCTGAAATTGAGTTGAGACTAGGTATTTTAAAGTTTGCAAATTTCCAATTTAGATTTCTTATTTTGGGAAGAATTGAGGAATATATAATAACTCTAAGAAATCCATGTCCTCTCGCATTGCAAGTACTGCCGCGAGCGAGGTAAACTTCTCTACTCTCATAGGAGCGGACCGTTTGCCTCAGTTTTATAATATATGCATCTATGGTTTGTGTCGTTCGACCCTCGGCAGTGCACACAATATTTTGGATTGGGCCGTATGACCTCGGCATAAATTGTACGTGATAATACTCGAAACTTGATTATACTTGATATTATGGTATGGCTTGAGAGGTATAATTTGTTTAATGACCGAAAGTGGTTTGGAACTAGTATGTGTTAGATGGAGATTTTGGAATTTATCATCAGTTAAGGAATTATTTATTCACTGCTTGTTATTATTATTATTTCCATGTTCCATACATGTTTAGAACTTCTGCATTTTGTTATTGGCCCATAGTAAGTGTCGATGTCGATCCCTCGTCACTACTTTTTCGAGGTTAGACTGGATACTTACTGGGTACATATTGTTTATGTACTCATGCTACACTTTTGCACTAATTGTGCAGGATCTGAGGCAGGTGCATCTGGCAATCATCCCAGAGCGCACCCCTGATACCCCAAGGCTTAGTGGTGAGCTGCATTTCGAGTCTGTTCTGCAGCACCCGGAGTCTCTCTTTTGCATTTACTTTCTATCTACTCTATTTCAGACAGTAGTTTAGTATTTTGTATATTCTACTAGTAGCTCATATACTTGTGACACCAGGTCTTGGAAATATGGTTGTAGACATTTGATGGCTTTTGAGTATCTTTACACCACACTTGCTCTTATATTTGTTTATGCTTCATTTATTTAAAATTTTCACCAGTTATTTATTTAATAAATAAAAGTCAACTATTTCAAAATTATTAAAAAGAATAAATACATGGCTAGTTCACCGTTGGCTTGCCTAGCGGCGACATTGGGTGCCATCACAGCCTATAAGAGAAATTGGGTCGCGACAATTCTCTTGTCTATAAACCACATAACAAATTTAACTGTACCATTTTGCGGGTAAACAGTTTGGCGCCTAACGAGCATAGACAGTTGAATAACTGCTTTGATCCTTGCGTTTATTATTCATGTGTTTGATTTTTCCTTAGCAAGAAATTGGAAATGGTAGCTAATGATATCAACATCGCACACAATGTTGAAGGACACGAAGAATTTCCTCAAAAAGATGACTGAATCAATGATATCCGCAACGAAGGGGACGCAGCAACCCCGATTCATGAAGAGCAATACCCCAAACATGTGTGGGAGCCAACTCCCGATGATGCGGAGGAGGAACATGTCGTGGAAATAGTAAAGATCTTAACACAGCAGCAGAAAGCCATCATGAGCCATCTCTCAAGGCAGAATCGGGTAGTGACAGAGTTGAAACAAGCGCTATCAGGCCCTTCCAATAATGTGAGCGAAAGGCACCCGGTTCCTCCCAAAGCTCCTACAAATCAACTACTCAAAGGATTGACAACAACACCCCAAGGTGTGAAGTCGGTTTCATTGGTGGCGGGGGAACCGATAGCGGATCTACTAATGATAACGGGAATGATCACTTCAAAACTAAGCTTATGAGGTTTATAAACGAATGGATGGATCAAAATGCGAAGGAATTACAGGCCCGAATGGATCAAATCTTGAGCGCACCACCAATATTTAAAGGCCCAGATTCAAAACAATACACATAATTACCGTTCAAACTGAGCGCAACACCAGAGTTGATTCTGAAGAGGTTTAAAATATCGGACATACCAAAATACAATGGGATTTCGACTCCGCATGAGCACATCATAATCTACACCGCGGTTGTAAAAGGGAACGATATGGCTCAACACGACATCACATCGGTCCTATTGAAGAAGTTTAGTAAAAACCTCATAAAGGGGGCCTGACATGGTATTCACTATTACCGGAGCATTTAATTGACTCCTTTGAAATGCTTGCAGATTCATTCATTAAGGCCTATGCCGGGGCCAGAAAGGTCTATGCAGGTAGGCAAACATATTTAGGATCGCGCAAGGTGAGTCCGAATTGCTTCGAGAATTCGTGATCAAATTCCAGAAAGAGAGGATACTGCTACCGGTTGTACCGGGAGAGTGGGCAGTGGAGGCATTCACAAAAGGGTTTGAATCCGAGAAGCTCTAACACCTTCTCGAAACTGAAGGAAAGACTACTCGAATTTTAAAAGACCACATGAGCATATGTCCATAGCCAATATGAGTCGAAAATAAGAATACAAGACGATAAGCTCGGATTCCCGACATCAACCAAGGGAGGAGACAGAGACAAGAACCAGTATTAGTTCAAAAGCGATTTCCATACGGATTAGATATCTTCTAAAGGTCATTTCCTACCATACGAGAGAATCGAAGGATGCGACAGAAAAGGGTTTCGATCCTAGGATAGATTCGTTTTTGATAGAAGAACTGACAGTGGCCGGAACAACATGTCATAATAGGAAAAAGAGGTATCCCAGGTTATTTGATTATAACTTCAACATCAGCATAGTGGAGTTGGTATCAGCAATGAGTAATATCAAAGAAGTGCAATTCCCGAAGCCAATCAGATCTGATCCTTGCCAGAGGAATCCTAAATTATGGTATGAATATCATGGGACTCACGACCATAGAACTGGGGACTTCTGACATTTGCGTGAAGAGGTGGAGATGTTATTGAAGAATGGCCATCTTAGGGAGTTCTTGAGCGATCGAGCCAAGAACAATTACGTCCGTAGCCGGGATAATGCGAAGCGTTTAAAGATAACAGAAAACCCCCATCGGTTGACTATCAACATAATTTTCGGACAGAATGAAATTAATAGCGTAACCTTCTTGGCGGCCAAGAAAATAAAGATATTAGTGGCTCACAACGAGAGACATCGGGAAGTCACAGAAGATGACATCACTTTCATGGAGGAAGATGCCAACGGATTGCTTCTACCACGTAATGACGCCTTTGTAATTTCTCTCAATATCTTATATTTCAAAATTAAGCGTGTTTTGGCCGATCCAGCAAGCTCAGCCATCATCATTCATTGGAGAGTGCTGGAGAAAGCAAAGTTAACCGGGAGCATCATTCTAGCAACAAAGCTTCTCACTGGGTTCAACTTGGCAAGCGTGATGACCCGAGGAGAGATCCTGCTTCGCACGAATGCCGAAGGGATAAATAAGACCACATTATTCAAAGTGGTCGACGGCGACATGGTTTACAACGTAATCCTCGGAAGGCTGTGGATACATGAGATGAAAGTTGTGCCCTCGACCTATCATCAATTGTAGAAATTTCTGACCCCAGAAGGAATCAAGCAGATAAAAGGAGAACAACTGGCAGTAAGAGAGATGAATACAATGTCGATTTCCATCATCAAAGGGAAGGAGCCTAGCAAAAAGAAATTATAGAAACCGATGCCTTCTCCCTCACCAAATGAAGATGATAAAGGCGAGGAATCATCAGAATCCCACCAGATGCTGAGATACTTTCAGGAACCGAAGAAGTCAGATGCAACCAAGTCCATTGCAGAAGAACTCGAGCAAGTGGCTTTATTCAAAGAATTCTTGGAAAGGAAGTTTTACTTGGGGATAGGGCTCAATCCCGAACTCAGGTCAGGATTTATTAATTTCCTTAAAGCTAACATCGATTGTTTTGCATGGTCGCACTCAGCTATGACAGGTATCCCATTAGAGGCGGCTATGCACAAGTTAAGCCTGGATCGAAACTTCCCACCGGTAAGGCAAAAATGCCAATAACCGAGGCTAGGAATAGGTTTGTTAAAGAAGAGGTAACTCGACTACTCGACATTGGTTCAATCCAGGAGGTAAAGTATCCAGAATAGTTAGCTAACAAAGTTTTAGTTCCAAAGAAGAATAACAAGTTTAGAATGTGCGTAAATTATAAGGACTTAAATAAGGTGTGCCCTAAAGACTCGTTCCAATTACCAAACATTGATCAAATGATTAATGTAACGGCCGGGGAAGAGTTAACGAATTTCCTTGATGCCTACTTTAGGTACAATCAAATCAAGATAAACTTGGAGGATTAGGAAAAAGCTTCGTTCATAATAAACTTTGGCATATATTATTATAATGTGATGCCATTTGGCCTTAAAAACACCGGAGCCACTTATCAAAGGCTCGTTAATAAGATGTTTGAGAAACAACTAGACAAACCAATGGAAGTATATATCAATGACATGTTATTCAAGTCTTTGAGTGCAGGTGATAATTTGAAACACCTCCAAGAAACTTTTGACATCTTGAGGAAGTATAACATAAAACTCAACCCAAAAAATTGTGCGTTCGGGTTTGATTCTGGAAAATTCTTGGGGTTCTTGGTCTCGCGAAGAGGGATCGTGGTAAATCCTGATAAAATCAAAGCCAATCAAGACATTTCGGACCTGCTAATGAGCGTAAAGTAGGTGCAAAGGTTAACTAAAAGGTTGGCCGCTTTAAGCAGGTTCATCTTAAGATCCTCGAAAATATGCCATCATTTCTTCTCACATCTAAAAAGAAGAACAATTTCGAGTGGACTCCAGAACGCCATCAAGCACTGAAAGATTTAAAAAGGTACATGTCCAGCCCCATGTTACTATCAAAACCAGGGGAAGATGAACAATTGTTAATATATTTTGCAGTCTCGGAAGTAGAAATAAGTGTTGATTTAGTCCGAGAAGAAGAAGGTATGCAATTTCCTGTCTATTATATTAGTAAAATACTGCCAAGAGCGGAAACTTGCTATCCGCACCTCGAAAAATTGGCCTTAGCTCTCGTAGTCGCCTCTCGAAAGCTTAAGCCTTATTTTCAATGCCACCCTATAGCCATTGTGATAACTTTTCCCTTAAGGAGTGTTATTCACAATCTTGAGTTGACAAGCCACTTGGCTAAATGGGCTATCAAAATTAGTGAGTTTGACATTGAATACAAGCCTAGGACAACGATCAAGTCACAAGTTTTGGCCGACTTTATGGTTGATATCAGTCCCAGGTTATTGCCCATAACTGTTAAGAAGCAGTACTGGTGTCAAAAATGAAATCAGAAGTTTGGACCTTATTTACGGATGGAACCTCCAATGTAAAGGGGTCCGAGCTTGGGGTATTTCTAGTCACGCCCTTGGGAGAAACCCTGAGTCAGGCCATTAAGAATATTCCATTTACTAACAACGAAGCCGAGTATGAGGCTTTGGTTGTAGGACTTGCACTGGCCTAGGGACTTGGCTCCGAGGTCATCGAGATCAAATGTGATTCCCAATTGGTAGTAAAACCAAGTGTATGGGATATTTGATACAAAGGAGGAACACATGCAATAGTATGTGAACAAAGTTCAGACATTACTTGCATGATTCAGGGAGTGGTCGATCACACATTTTCCAAGAGAAAAGAACGTGGAAGAAGACACATTGGCTAATTTGGGGTCGTCTACGGAGATGAAAGGATCTATCTTTAGTACTGTCATTCAACTTCTACATTCGGTATTGGATGTGGATGGTTATTGTGAAGTCAATTCAACCAACTTAGTCTGGGACTGGAGGAATGAGTTCGTCGAATATCTTCGACATGGAAAATTATTCAAAGACCCGAAGACGTCCCGAGCACTACACACCAAAGAGAGATGTGACAAATGAATATCATACCATGTCCCATTGACTCGATGTATGGGAGCCTCGGAGGCATACTACGTGAAGAGAGAAGTCAATGAAGGAATTTGCGGGAATGATTCAGGTGAAGATTCATTGGTACTAAAGCTGGTTAGAACGAGATTCTATTGGCCCCAGATGGAATAGGAAGCAAAGGCATTCATTCAAAAATGTGACAAATGCCAGTGCTATGCACAGTTGGTACACCAACCGACAGAACTCTTATGTTCGGTAATGTCCCCGTGGCCATTCATGAAATGGGGAATGGATATAGTTGGTATGTTGCTGACGAGTCCCAGAATGGTAAAATTCCTTTTAATTTTAATCGATTACTTCACTCTATGGGTTGAAGCAGTTCCATACTAAAATATCGGTGAGTGCAAAGTGGTCGACTTCTTATGGGACCACATAATCTGCCGATTCGGAATAACAAAAGAGATTGCTTGTGACAACAGACCGCATTTTATCGGCTCAAAAGTCACAAAATTTTTGGAATATTTGAAGATCAAGAGGATTACATCTTCACTATACAATTCGAGCACTATTGGACAGGAGGAGTCAACCAATAAGGTGATTATCCAAAACCTCAAAAAGTGGTTAGAAGTTGCTGAAGGAAAATGGCTCGAAGAGTTACCGGGTGTGCTATGGGCATATCAGACAACGACAAAATCAAGCACAGGAGAAATACGTTTCTCTCTCGTATATGTCATAAAAGCTCTGATACCAGTGGAAGTAGGAGAGCCAACTTTAAGGTTTTCCCGAGTAAACGAAAAAGCAAACAATGAGGCATTGCTGGTGAAGCTTAATTTGCTAGATGAACGCAGGGACTTGGCATACGTGAAGATGGTGGCTCAAATGAAAAAGGATGGAAAGATATTATAATCGGAGGAAAAATCTCTGCTACTTCAAAGTCGGAGACATGGTTTTGATAAAGGTGACTAAAACCACTCAAGAAATCAATGCTGGAAAGCTGGGTCCAACATGGAAAGGTCCCTACCGGGTTCAGTTGGCACCGGTAAAGGGTCGTATGAAAATAAAGATGGAGTCAAATTGTCTAGCAATTAGAACGTGACCCACATCAAAAGATATTACTGCTGATGGATCCTATTAATACTGAAAGTATGTGCTGCACTCTTTTTCCTTCGGCCAGTTTTTGTCCCAATCGGGTTTTTCTAGTAAGGTTTTCAACAAGGCATCAACGAAAAGCATACTACAAAAGGAGCGTCATCGGCAAGGTTACGACCTTTAAATTACAAGGCATTTGGAATGATAAACCACTATGGGATGGTTAAATAATCTTTGGCTCGATGGCAAGTTCCTAATGGGAAGCAAAAGTTGCCATCGAACCTAAGACTATTTAACCGTTCACAAGTTGTTTCCATCATTGAAGCAAGACTTCCAGTGTTCCAATCCGCATAATTCGCGTTCGAACACTGGGGCTAAAATTATAAGATACGGGAACAAAAATACCACAAAAACTGGGGACTGCGAGAACCAGGAACAATAATGTCTCATCGAGACCGGCACTGTATGATTAGTGATAAGTTAGCATTTTAACATGTTTTATGACCCTACTTGCCTATGCTTTGATCATATATTATTACAAAATAGTCCTAAAAGGCTCACAAGTTGTGCTTGATTGCAGGTTTGATCGACAAAGTGACGAAATGTCAAAGATCAGCTCAAAAAGGAGTGAAACCTGCTCAAGTATGAAAGACCAAGAAATCTAAGGAAAGAAGGCCTAGTGCGGACCGCGCAAAGTTGAATGTGGCCACACTAGGTGGTTCAGAGAGTTGGTAAACCAGGCTAGAGGCAACGCGGCCACGGTACACATCTCGCGGTCTGCAGTGAAGGATCCACGGCCGCACTACTCTTTTGTGCGGTCCGCGGTCATGAGATTCAGAGAGATGAAAGTTTACAAAGCCAACGCCATGCGGTCCGCGGTCGTGATTGCGCGGACCGCACCAGCTCCCTCCGCGGCTGCGGTCCATTCTACGCGGTCTGCGGAGTACAAGTTCAGAGAAGCACAAGTCAAAGTCAAAGAGCCCAGTGCGGCCGCGGTCGATTTAGTGTGGCCCGCACTGACCCCGCAGGGGTATTTTTGTCCAATTTTTCTAGCCTAGTATAAATAGAATACTTTACCATTTTTTGGCAATATTATTGTATTCAGATGTGAGCTGTGCTCCTGAGAATGATATTTGTAGCCATTTTTAGCACTTTTGCTTTACATTTACCATAGATTCTTGTAGTTTAATTTTAGCAATTAATTAATTTGTTTAGTTCTTCATCTATTTCTTCAATTTCTTTATCTAGCATGAGTAGCTAAACCCATTAGCTAGGGTTGTGGCTCAACCCTAGTGTGGGTAATTAATGGGTGTTGCCATCTAGTGTTAGATTGACTATGGGTGTTTGCTATTTGGGTTGATTTTATGTTTTAATCTAGAATTGTTGGTTGCAAACATTGATTCAAGCTTTGTGAGTTTAACTCTTCTTGAGAAAGAGAGTCTATGGCCCCAAAATTGACCCAACAAGGAATTGGAATGGACTCATGAGAAATGATAGTCCCAATTAACGGGTTAAACCTCGAGAGAGTAATTACCCTACTTGAACCCTAGTTGCTTGGTCTAATTTGCCTACCCATTTGGTATCG